ACCCTTAAGTAAGAAGCACCCTCTCTCTCAGTTCTGTGCTATTACCTCATTTAATCCTGAAAACACCAAGCAAATCGCAATGGCGTCTGAGATAGGGAGAGAAGAAGGCAGACTGAAGAATGTTCTGGGCTACTCCTGCCATTGACCTTAAAGTCTACACTGGATTTATTTTTAGGATTGCCCTATCCCTTCACTAAGTGACAGCATCACCATCCCACAGCAGCTCCTTGTCAACCACAGAGTTTGGTATGCAGGGTGGAGAAAGCTTGACTGTGTAGATCTTGGTTTTGAATCTTTGCTGCGTGCTTCACCTAGTGTGCCAGCAGTACTCTTCCTGCTTCCCCTTCACTGTGCCCAAGTACAACACAAGGACCCCGAATAGATCTTGCTGACTTAAGATGACTTGAGAGAGAACAAACACAAGGTATCTCTCTACAGCTAGTACCGATGCCTGAAAAACAACCAAAATCTCTGTCTCGTCATCGTCTATAGAGATTTCTAATTTAAATAGGTTTGACCATTCTGTAAGCACCGAGGTACAAAGGATGCCCATGCCCTCTATTTTTTTTAATCCCAAAATTGACAGGCAAGCTGAATACTATCCAGGCAGAGAATATAAACAATGAAGGTAGCTGCTCTTTCCAAATCTGATAGTGAAATGACACAGAACCTGTATAGGAGAAGTTCACGATCTGGAAGTGTCAGACACCAAACAGTTGAGTGACAAACACAATCTTCACAGGTCCCTTACCTGCTTCCAGACTACAGAAGTAGTCTGCCCCTGAAAGAGGCACACACAGACACATACACATACACTCACAAAGAGGCACACACAGAGACACACACACAGAGATACATACACAGTCACAAATACACAAATGCACACACAGAGGCACACACACACAGAGGCACACACACACAGAGGCAGAGAGAGAAAGAAAGTCACACAGAAAGAGAGGTACACACACTTTCCAACTCTTAGATCTCTGCAATTTCTTTCCTTGGACTCCATGTCCCAGCCATTTCTCACTTGCCCAACTTTCTTTTCCGAGCTCCAGAGAGCTCCCTAGCCTGTCTCTGTTTTACCTGTCCCACTCCCCTGTGTATGACAGCAGTTCAGTACATTGTCCCACTAACCCACACAGCCTTGGACAGGCTTCAACATCTGGCCAGCCCACTCTGCCTGACATGAAGCTGACAGTCAAATGTTTTCTCAGGCCACAACTTGTAAGATTCCTTGGCACGATTGGCACGCTGCCTTACACTAAAAGGAAAGAGTCTGTGCTGTGTTATTTATGATTGTGTTACTTACTGCTTTTCCAGACGGGTTTGTTGTTAACCTGGAAAACTTGTTGAGTCCCATGGAAATCAGTTTCTTTCTTACTATTTTAAGGCAACAGACACTTACTAGGAGGATGCTCAGTGGATAAAGCTCTTGTTGCGTGCAGGTGCGAGGACCTGAGTTTGGATGCCAGGACCGATGTAAAAGCCTTCACTTTACTTCATTCTTCACTCTTGGAGCTTCTCTGCCTCCCTCAGTCTCCCCTTCTGCTTTGATGTCACATGTGTTCCAGTACCTCAGTTTCTGTCCCTTCTCCTTCCTAAGTCCCTCCCCTGCTAATGGCCTTTACAATGTCAATAAACATGTGTGTGTGTGTGTGTGTGTGTGTGTGTGTGTGTGTATCTGTAGATGCTGATTTGGAATCCTCGTGTATATGCCCAAGGTACATCTGGGTCTTATGACAGTTTCTATTTTAGATGTTTAAGGGTCCCCTACACTGATATCCATAGTAGGGACACCAGTTTTTACGTCCTCCAATCAGGGCACGCACGATGCATCCTTATACAGGCATTTGTTGCTCTCTGTAGAAACATTTCATTTGAATACTATGTAAGAACTGCATGTGATGGCCAGCCCTCGCCACCATTTATAAATCGGGTACTTCCCTAAGTCCAGTGTGTTACTATGTGCTTTTAATCAATCTACATTGGTTATGAAGCATAGTTGGAAATTTCACTTTTTTAAAAGATCAAAAAAAGTTTTCTTGGAAAGGGTCTCATGTAGTATAGGGTGAACCCAAACTCACTACATAGCTAAAGACGACCTTGCACTTTTGATCCACCTGCCTCCACCTCCCAAAATTAGGGGATACAAGTATGTGTCACCATAGCTCTCATTAGATGATCTATCTTTTATCTGCCAAATTGGTAGAGGTTTTCAACTTTCCCATAAGTTCTGAGTGTTCAAGGCTGAATGACTCATATAAAAACGTGTGAGAAATATTCCTCTTTAAAGACCTGCTTACAGTATAATGCATAATATATGATATGAATCATTAAAGTCCAGATTGTTCCTCAGTTTGTTAAGCATCATAGCTACGATGGCTCTAACTAGTATTCCTTCCTTCTTTACCTTAAAATTGATGCTTGTATGAGACGTACATCATAGAGAATAAAGGATTTATTGAGGAAAAATCCTACCTCGTGACTGGTCCCTAGTGTCCTCTTATCTTGTCACCTCAAATCTTACCATGTGTGGCCAACCGTTTGCTGGCCTTGCCTCTCCAGCTTACCTCAGACACACAAGCTTGGTGAAAGGAGTCCTGCTTGTCCTGACTGCACCATCCTCCAGTGTCATGTGTTCTGACAGAATAAGACATTCTACCACTAAATATAGCCATGGCCTCACCTGATGTTTAATGCACTTTTATGTATTGCTATATTTCTAATTTTTTTTTTAAAAAAGAGTTATTTTGAGAAAACTTATTCTTCTTCCCTGTTTTGTTTTGAGATTCACACTTCCCATAAAATCTGGCTCCTGGAGAGGTAATGATTAATCAGGACAACTGGGTACCTCGGTGTGGCAATACACTCAGCAAAGGTTTTCCTCTCTCCCATCCACACTGTCTGCCATCTCCCTCACGCCCACCAATGCAAGCTTATGAATATCCTATAAAGCTGGCTTAATTTCTACTACTACCAAGGCTACTGCACCTGTGTTACCTTAGTTCATGCTGCACTTTATTCTACAAATATCTCCTAAGCAACTACTAGGCAGAAAGCCTGGTAGTGGAACGTTTTAAGTTGCTCAGGATCTCCTGGAAGAAAGCAAACACTTACTAAAGAAGATAAGCAATAGTCAGAATGTGTATTGGTCAAAGATGTGGCTCAGTTGGTAGAATGTTTATCTAGCATGGGTAAAGCCTCGGTTCCCTTCCCAGCACTGAATAATACTGGAAATGTTGGCACATGCTTATCCAGAGATAGAGACAGAAGGGTCGGAAGTTCAAAGTCATCCTCTGATACACAGTGAGTTTGAAACCAGCCTGGAATACATGAGACCTTGTTTCAAAATAAATAAGAGGAAAAAGAAATGTGGGTATGGTAAGTGACAAATACCTGTTCGAACTGGGAAAGAGGAGTTGTGGTGAAAAGCAGACGGGGAGGGTGCGTGCTGAGACTGATGAAGGCAAGTGAGAGCAGAAAACCTGGATAAATCCATGATTGGGATTAGGGAGTGGCAGCAGGAGGCAGGAAGGCTGAGTTTTGCACCTTGGTGACTGGGCTAATGGTGGCAGAAGTCATCTTCTGCGGGACCTTTGGGAAGACATGGAGGACATAAACGGAGTATTATAATGTCTCCTCAGAGATATTAGACTAAACTGAATACATAGGGCCACTGGATTTTAATTGAAGTTAAGTAGGCTTGAAAAATGAGGTTTTGGGCCCACTGTGGTTCACACCCAGTAGCAGGGAGACTAGAAGAGAGATCAAGAGCCTGATATCAGCTTTAGTTGCTACAGTAAAATGAACAAGAAAGAAAAGGGACCAGAGATTGAGAGTCCCGAGCCTGATGCTTGAACCTGCATAGTGCTTAGTGACAGTTAGAACCAAGAAAAGAACTCTGGGTTCGTCAGACTAGCAGAGTGGACAACAGCTCCTGGCTGGCTGGAGGCCAAGCCCCAAACTGAAAACAGTATCTACTTAGCAGGTTTCTTAAAGACTGACAGGGCTAAGCGCTCAGTGCCAGGCACACTCACATTGGATAAGCATCCGCTATGGAGTAAGGGGAAGGGATTTTTTTAACCTAGTCCTCGATGACCTTGGGGAGAACAATTTCTTCCTGTGCAAAAACTGTAAATTGTAAACCACAAGCGCAAAGTACGAAGGTGGCGGCACTCACTAAAGAGGATGAGTTTTATACAAGAAACACAAAAACAGAAGTGAGTGGAAGAAAGGATGACCCGGGAGCTCAGAGCTGAAACTATTGCTCGGTGGTAGTGGGACGTACGTGCCTTCCTGCATCTGGAGCTAGGTGTACAGCAAGCCCGACCGCTCCCGCCCCTAGTTCCCCAGGTAGTCCCCAAAGGCGCTCCTCTTTATCCGGTAAGTTTGAATCAGCGAGGGCTGATGAGAGGGAAAGGCCCACTTCACCCCGCACGACATCTAGGCGATAAATGACAGGCTTTGCCACTCCGTCTCCAGAACGACCTGTTCCACAGCGGTGGACTCATCCTCCCTCCCTGGCCCGCAGCAGCCACCGGGACAGGATGCTTTCCCGGAGCCAAAGAGACAGCGCCCCGAGTTCCCGCGGACGGGACGCACCCAGAAGCAGGAAGAAGGGATCGCTGGTTTGTAAAGAGGAGTCTGGGAAGCCAGGTCCAGGAGCCGGGAAAGTGACCTCCGCGGTCCAAGGTCGAGCAAGACCTTCCCTCTTTCAGTCTCACCCGCAGCACCTCAGCACCCCATTCCCCGGGGGCCGCGATCTTCCCTGGGGTTGCAGGGCGCCAGGGCTCCGGGAGGCGCAGGTGAGCGCGGCGCGCCAGATCGCCGAGCAGTCCCGCTGGGAAGGAGGCCCTGCCCGGCCCCACGCTTCTCCCTTTCCCGTGCGACCCCCGGGGGCTCGATCCCTATGGCTCACGCGCCCTTCCCCTGCAGCCCTCCGTGCCACCCCCGAAAGCATCGCCCCAGCCTGCGGGGGCCCGCAGCCCCGCACTCACCACGCCGGGAGGCGAGCAGCGCGCGCGGGTGCCGAGGGCGGCGGCGGGCGGTGCGAGCGCGGCTCTCACAGCGGCCCCTGCTGCCCGGGCTGCCGAGAGGCGGAGGCGGTGGGGTGGCACCTGCTGGCTCTCCCAGCCCCGCGCGTCACCCGGGACCGCCCCCCGGCCCGCCTGCCCGCCGCCGCCAGGTGCCGCCGAGGGGTGCGGTGTCCTGCCAGCCGCTCTGGCTGCCGCCCTCGCCCCGGGTAGAGCCTGGCCCCGGGCGACCCAGGATGCGGTGGGGGGACCGATTCCCGTCCACTCTACTGAGTGCCCTTTCTTTCTGAGTGTGAATACCATCATCTGGGGTCATCTCCACGCTTAACCAAAATACTGTGGGAATTGTGGTCGTGCTTGACTCTGATGGGATTACAGGATGGGTCCCGGACGCGGATGGAGGAGAGGAGAAAAGGGATGAGGAGAAATAAGTCTCTAAAATAGAGACCAGGCCAGCAAAGATGCCAAGGCAGATTTGGGGAGCTCAATCCCTTCTTATTGTTAAACAATGAATTGTTGAAAAATTGGGAGATGCGCGCGCGGGGGCGGGAGCAGGGCTTTTAGGGCGAGGAAGAACAGACTGCATGCAACTTGTTTCATGGTAATCAGAACCGATGGAAGGAACAGAGTCTACCAAACTCCTGTCTCCTTCAATGATTGTTGGATTGGAAATGCTGAGCCTGTGCGTGTGCACTGGACTTTTTTTTTTAAACGATCTAGTCCTGTGCTTAGTTATGATCATAGTAAAAACTGTAACAATTTCTAATCAAGCATAATAGCAGGAAGGCAAAATTTAAGTCTAGAGGTACCTGCTTCTATGGCAAACCAAAAACTAGAATTGATCTTTCAACTAGAACATCCCCCATCCTCCATCCCCCTCCCACCTTAAAAATTCCAATCCTGAGGGTTTGCCTTCCCTGTGGGATAGCCTCACCATGTGGGCGGTGCTTGCACTGGAGTTTCAAACGTAGAATCAGGATAGGACGGGACTCTCCAACAAGTAGGGACGGTGGATAGGGAAAACAAAAACAAGCAAGCAAGCCAGCCTTCCATGACCCAACCCTAGAACATTGAAAATAAGGTTTCAGTGTGTAACCTAGAGCTCTGGGCACACCCACAGAATAGTCAACGAGAGGACAACTCCCAAAGCCCAGGAGTTCAAATGCAAAGTTAAGAAGCTGAAGATCTCTCCTACTGGAGATGTAACTCGACGGTAGAGATGGTAGAGCGCTCACCAAGCACGTGCGAGATCCTGAGCTCAGTGCTCTACATCAATAAACAAACAAATGAATACTGGACTAAGCTTTTCTTTCATGTTACAAATACGTTGTTTGGTAGATTTGGAAACTCCCTAAAAATCAGAGACAATTGCCATATGTCTGTCACTGTTTCTATCTGTATAAAATTTCAAACATGCAAAAGCCTAGATTCATTTAATTAAATTTAAGACCTATTTAATGCTGTTAGCCCCCCACCCCCAGAATCTAAAGATTCAACAGACAACAACAACAACTAAAAATGTTCTCTTTTCAGGGAGCGAACATTCATTCTAGCCAGAGCTAACAATAAAGTTAATGCATAACCAGGCAAAATAAAATATGTTGTGTTCAGGTCCTGACAAGTATCACGAAAAAAGGAAGGGCATGGAGATCTTTGAGGGGGGAGGGCATGGAGATCTTTGAGGGGAGGGCGAGCTGCATTGTTGAAGGCCTCAGTGAAAGGAGGCTTTTGTGTCTTGTGTTTTTGAGACTCACTATGCAGCAGAGGCTGGGAATAAAACTTCTGATATTAACCTAGGCTATCCTCAAATTTATATCCTTCCTGTCCCCTGATCCCCAGTGCTGAAATGACAGGCTAAAAGGAAGATTGAGTCAAGATTTTTAAAGTGGCAAAGCCGTGTGTCTATCCGGTTAAAATACACTTCAGGCAACAAGAATGGTGGCTACGCCAAAGGCTTGGGCACAGATGGGAGGGAATCCACAGTTCCCAGAAGACCTAGGAGGTCGGAGGAGCTGAACTGGAACAAGGAGGGTAACATCAAATGCTAGTGAAGTCTCAAGGAGCAGTTCTGAAGAGTGGCACCTTCTGGTCAGCTTAGTTTTAAACCTTTTCTTTTCTTTCCTTCCTTCCTGATTTCTTCTTCTTTCCTCTTCCTTTTCTTTCTTCTTTCGAGGCAAGATCTGGCTATAAAGTCCAGGCTGCCCTCAAACCTTCAATCCTCCTGCCTCAGCCTCCTAAGTACTGGGATTATAGGTTTTTGCTCCAGCCTGGCGTTTTAAAGTAAGCATTCTAACAACATTCCTGAGAATAGAATAGGGGATGGGGAGGAACAGGAGAGACGGAGCAAGGAAACGATTAAGAGGCTCTTGTACAATCCAGATAAGATATAGTGGAGGCAAGAGGAAGTGGATCATAGTGAAAAGGTCAGGCTTTAAAATACATTCTGGCATGCAGAGGCAGAGGCTGGTTGATCTCTATGAGTTCAAGGCCAGCCTGGTTTACACAGGGGAGCTTCAGGTCAGCCACACCCTGTTTCATCTTCAAACCTCCAATACATCATGACGATAGTGCCAACCCGTTTCCCAAAGATCTGATGTGAGAGATAAGAAAGGGTGTGTCAAAAATGACTTCAAAGCATTTTCCATAAGTAACTGCAAAGGACATATTGCTTGTATAAAGAGGAAGACAGAGAAAAAAGTAGGGCAAAGGGCAGAACTTGTTCGAGGGCTGATTTAAATTGAGGAGCCCATTAGGTTAACAAGTGGGCGTATTGGGCATGCAGTTGGTTATCTCAATCTGCAGACTGAGAGAGGGGCGTGGCTGGAGATATTAATTTAGGACTTAACAGCGTCTTGATATTTTTTAAGTGGCTAAGAACAAAAGAAATGAGAAAAGAGACCAGGTCTGCAGACAAGCTTCTGGGGCACTGCTGTGGTGAGTGGTTAGGGAAGGGGGATGGAGCGTGAGCCTGGAGCAAAATCAGAGCATCCATGTGTCCTGGAAGGTAGCTCTGTTAGGAATGCCATAGTAACAATGTACAACAAATCACTCCCTAGCACAGTAATTTGACTTTGTCTTCATGGCCACCAATAATACGTGGGTAGGTATAGTAGGCAAGTCGGCCTTGCCTGAACTCATGATCTATAGGACCCAGAAGGAAGACGCAGCAGCTGGTTTAGGACCTCACTGGACACTGTGGAAGTCTAAATGGCATTCCAAAACTTATGAGCACTGTGAAGGTTCCTGTCACATCAAGCTGGCTAACATTCCATCGCCTTGAAGCCATCAGAGAGCCAGATCTAACATCACTGTCCTATAAAAATATAAACCCAACTGTGGAAAGTGATGAAAAAGAATGCTTGTTAAAGAATAACACAGATTCTTATCACAGTAGGAGAACGTGTTACAACACGGAGCAAGTGAATGTCTAGCACTAGGAGGGACTGTGGATTTAACAAGGTGGTTGTCATCGACTGAACTTGACAACGACATAGATGGCTTTAGTTAAATGGGTGGGTGAAAACCTGACCAGAGTGGGTTTCAAGAGTAGACAGGAGGAGAACAGTCGCAGAAGAGAGCTTTGGGCAGTTCACTATCCAGTTTGCTGTAGAGTCAGGAAGGGATCCAAGGAGATCAGAGGGACGCACAAGCATTGTCAGCTGTGCAGATGCCCTGCTGTACGTACATATTAAAAGGAAGAAAGAGAGGGAGAGAGGGAGGGAAGGAGGGAGGGAGGGAGGGAAGGAGGGAGAAAGGGAAGGAGGGAAAGAGGAAGGAAGGAAGGCAACAGCTAGAGCTCTAGTCTACCTTGATTCTTTTTATTCCAAAAAGGAGCTCAGAAACAACAGTGGGCCATTCCTGTGGTTGTGTTCTGTATCCCTCATATATACTGTAAATTTTCATGTATATGTAAGATAAACAACTACATTTCAAATAACTAGTACCAGACCACATATATTATCCCAAAACTTTGTTCTTTAGTCAACTCTCATTTTATTTTACTTTTTAGATTAGTGTGTGTGTGTGTGTGTGTGTGTGTGTGTGTGTGTACTGTGCATGTCATGACCCTAGTGTGGAGATCAGAGGGAGTTAGATCTCTCCATCCAGCGGCAAGCTCTTTTACCCATGAAGCCATCTTACCAGTCTCAACAAATCCTTGCCAATGTCTTATTAATGTAGACACATGTAATGTTTTTATTCATTTAGTTACTAAAGTTCACAGTATTGAACAGCTAAGCCTTTGTACATTTGCCTGATAATGAACAAAATTAAGTTATAACAAAATATCATAGGCTAGGTAGATTAAATAGCTGACACTTTCTTACAGTTATATAGTCAAGTCCAAGGTCAGGTTCTGGTTAGGGCCTAGTCGTGATTTGCAGATGGCTATCTTCTTGATCTTGCTCATGGATTTTCTTTCTTCTTGGGAGTGTGTTTAGGAAAGAGTCAGGGACACCCTCATTCTCATGTCTCACCTACAACTACCCCCTAAATCTAATCATTTTAGGTCAATGACCCCCAAAAGTTTTCCTCTGAACACCACAAGACTGTGATCGCATGTGTGTGCACACACACTACAAGTAAATACATTTAAAAACTGAAACAAGAAAAACAATCATCTTGAAAGGCCCATCTCCAAATACCATCAGTTATAAACTCAGAGAAGACAGCAGGTTTTAGTCCATAGTGCTTAATATTTTGCCATCATAAGTAGTATCAAACTATGCATTTATTACAATATGTAACCGGTTTCCACTAGCCCTTGCCAACATGTGGCGTTCCTAGATCATATATAACATACAACATCCAACCATGATAATACAATATAGACATGGAATAAGTACATCATTACAATAATCCTTTTGTGCTCTTATTTCCACTGTTGGGTGTGCAGTATAGGACTCTGTTGCTGAACTCTCTCATGACCTTACACTTCGCCAGTCTGACAGACGTGAGGTGCTCTCACACTGTAGCTTTAGTGCACAGGCTCAGTAATACT